TGTCTGTCTCTGTGTGTGTACTGGACTGCCAAAGGGATTATCCTTCATCTGTCTCCTTCACTAAGGGCCATATGTTTCTACATGAAGCCCCCAGCTCCACTGAGCAGCACACACACACACTGATTAGACCACACACTATGAGGCTCACATAGTAATGAGTCAAACACTACTGTATGTTTTGTCTTATTAGTTCATATGCACTCTCACACACATTCACACACACACGCTGCCCTTCGGATTTGTGCCTCACAGATTTTGATTTATGCCAAAATACCAGCTTTATTATATAGCATGTCAGTGAGCAATGACCCATATTAGATATGGCCTGGAACCATGCACAAACTGCATACCGCATACACACACACAGACACATACACATGTAGATTTACTGCATGTCTTTCCTGCAGTCTGTTATTTTACCAAATGGATAATTACCATTCTAAGACCAGACATAACAATATGGGCAGCAGTGTTTGAGTGAGACCTCTTTTAGCACTTTATATAACATTTTTGTGCAGCTTGTGTTAAATCGTTTAGCAGTTTTACAGGATTACATCCCCAGGTTGTCATAGTTCAAACCCCCAGCCATTCACCTCCATCCAATTACTTTATCGGCAACGCTATTTATACAATACGATGGAACTCTATTGATCTGTGGGGAAATGAGGTTAGTTTTGCAGCCACAAAAGTGATTCAACAGGGAATCAAAGCAAATAGAGTAAGAACACAAACTGAATATAAATAGCTACAGAGACAATATTGATGAAGCAGTTAGCCAAATATATATTTTCAAGACCAGAGCAAAAAACTGTGTACAGTACATTCACAGTACATTGATCTGATAACTTGAAATAGCACACAAAGCAGTACCTCTCCAGTTAACTGGCCCTGTGCAACAGTCTCAGTGTGTGTGGTTTAAACTATTATGCAGGCAGCAGTTCAGGCCAGATTGACAGCAGTGGTGTTGCATGCTAAAGTGGTAATCATTCAATTAACTGGAAATCAATGGCACCCATAAGGGTGATCTGTTTCAATATTGGCCTGTCAGTCACACAGGGCCAGCTGACCGCTTCAACACACACGCAAGTGACTTGCACATTAGCACATTTATTGGGAGACGGCCGGGACCACTGGTCAACTCGCCCACTATGGTGAGTATGGACACCATTATGTCCCTGTTCAATTAGCATCTTGTTTGAGTCTGTACTGTCACTGGTCAAAATGGACCTGTGGAAAACATGTATCTCCAAAATATTCCAAATGCTCCAAACTTTTCAAGATAAACCTTTGCAACAGTGATTTTCCCCCAGGTAATCTGTGAAATGGTCTGTTGCCCCTAATGGTATTTGCAAGAATCCACCGCAGCTGAACGAAAACAACCAATCAGAGCCGAGAAAGATACAAAGACTCCTTGGACTCAAGGCTTAAAGATAGTTGATTGTTTAGTCTCATTCCCAGAGTCCAAAAGCATCGGTATTTGACGTCCTAGAAATGAGACTCAACAATCAACTAACTTCCTCCGCTCTGATTGGTTGTTTTCGTCCAGGCCCAATGAATTCTCAATAATGCAGCTAAGGAGCCAGAGGAACCAGATTGTTCCACAGTTTATCCATCTCATGTTCTACTGTCAGAATAAAGTGAAGGTTTCAGCAAATATGACAAAAAAAGATTTTTTATAAAGTTACATTCTGCAGCTTTAACACTTATTGAATATATTGAATCTAGTTGGTTTAATAATAATATCTTTAAAAATACATGTTAATACAAAATAGAAAGCTGAAATATTTATCATTTTATAACATCACTTAAATGTTGATGTTCTGTTACCCTAGGAGCCACTAAATCATTTACCTACATGCACTGACCCTGCTGCCTACATAATGGCTTCATTCTAGCTTCTCTATGTATGCATCACATCAGCCAAAAAGTCACAAACATCCATCTCCACTGTCACAGGGCAAATTAACATGGAAATTGGTGTGTTGCATTTTGGAATGAGGGAACAGGGCTCTAAATGACGCCTTCCCCTCCCTTTCATCCTTCCTTTTCTGTCTCTGTCTCCTTTCTCTCCTCTCAGGCTGTCGGCCGTTTCCTGCGGACCCGGTGGGCGTTCAGGCCCTGACACTGCCCTAATGAATGAGGGAGATGATTTATAGCTGAGGGAGAGGGAAGAGAAGGGAGGGACGGAGGGATGGAGGCAAGTCGAGGGGGGCACAGAAAGGGTAAGGGGTGTTGGGTCACGCCGTAGAAGGTCAGGAACGTAAATCTTCTCATTGTGTTTATCTGTTGTCCACTCTGCTAACATAATATGCATTATAATCTCTGCAAGTCATATAAGGACACGGGACTTCTTTGTCTAGACAGTATGAGGGAAAAAGTAGGTTAAAAAAGTTTAAGGGCAGAAGAGTAGCATAGGTAAGAATATAAAGTTTGATTTAGTGGAACATCTAATCCCTCGTAATCTCAAAGATTCTTTCTTTCTTTATGTTATTGCAGCAGCAGTCCCAAACAGCCCATCCAGTGGCCGTCTGATAAGCCATTTCTAGTGATTTTAGAAAATAAATTGGTGCTTTACAAAAACCATCTAATTCCTATCTTTTGGCCCAAAATCAATTAAATGAACAGATTTCTCATTATTAGAACGCTGCGTTCATGCAATGAATTACTGAACTGACTGTCATTTCTTAAACTACAAACTTTTTTGATAGATTTTTTGGGGGCTTTCTGCCTTTATTAGGTAGGACAGCCAAAGATTGACTGGAGAGGGGGAGAGAGGGGATGACACACAGTCAAGGGCCACAGCCGCTGCAGCAGGGACTCATTGGTATGTAGGGTTCCAACCGAAGGGGTCGGACCTCGTTTGGGCACTGAATATGAGGGGTTGTTAGATAATAAAGAAATACTTTTATTTTCAAGAAATATTAAAGGTTGGAAACTGGTGGTTTAATTTTTAGCAATGTTTTGTATTTATCATATGATTTTATGTAAAATCCAGTTGTAGCCTAACCATAGATGTCAAACAAATGTAGTCAGAGGTGGGAAGGAGCTAAGTACAAATACTTTGTTATTGTACCTTGTTACTATACTACTCTTCTTGAGTATTTATTTTTCTGACAACTTGAGAGGCTGTAATTGTAAATTACAATTTCTCACCCAATAATATTTCATAATAAACTCGTGTTTTGTATTAGCACTGTGTGATTTAAATATTTTATCATCTATATCAAATTCATATATATTTTTATCACTTCTGATCCCCAAAGTCTATCTCTATTATTAGGATTTTGACATATTTACCATTAAAGTGTAGTATCAGACTTTAAAAAAGGCCTGTCAATCAAATCTCAATACATTCATCGGGTCTTTTGAAGATTTTGTATGATTTAATGCTGCTGCCACCTCCATCGCCTCTATCTGTGGACTGCAACAAAGCTGTGCTGCAGCATCTTATCATGCTCTTTTCAGCTGATCACAGAGCACCGAGAGAGGAAATACACCTCAGGCTACTCATGTATGTGTGTAGCTATGTGTGTGTCTGAGCCTGTGAGTTAGTGAGTTTGTGTATGCCAAGACACGGGGAGCATCTGAAGAGCACTGGAGGGTAATGCATGCCTTGTCTCAGGTGGACAGCGGGAGGGAGTGTGTGTTGCACTCTCAGTGCAGAGAACTCGGCAATTTCATGCTCCTCGGCGCGTATGGCGCTCACCCAGGTGCAGTGCACTGTGAAGTTGGGGGGGAATGGGGCATTAGGAGATTAAGAAACAAACAGAACTTCAGCAATAAGGCACAGTTTTTATTTTTCTGACTGGAGAATGTTGTCGGGGAGTTGAAGGCTTCAAGAAGTTTAGGTTGTGCATTAGGAGTTTTTAAGTTTGCGCCAACACACAAGCGTACGCAGATTTCAGTCTTATGGATTACTTATCTTACTGCATATCAAGAAGAATCTCAGACCTGAATTCACTGCATAGATTTTGGCTAATACCCTGGAGGAGTAATGCTGGGGGATTTTGAGAGGATGGATAGAAAACATTCATAATTCACAACCCGTTCCGATCCCCTATCCATTCCAATGGACCTAACTTTTTAAAATGTTTAAATCTATGGCCATCTGACTCCACCTAAATTCACAAACTTATTTGATTGGGTGTCTATAAGCCAATCACAAAGCATGGCCAACCGTGCAATGAGGAAGGGTAAAGGTGTGTGTTTGTCCAGTGTGTAACATTATTGACTTGACAAGTTCACAGTTTTTCAAGTGTGTTGTAAAGCAAAACTAACCTGCCCAAAGTACAGTGCATATAGTTTTGGTTGCTCGTACGTCCTGTCTATATTGGCT